CAGCCCGGGTGGGAGGGAGGAGGGAGGCGGGAGACGAAGAGAGGAGGGGGATTGGGGGTGCGGGAGGTGGCGGCGGCGGTGGTGGTGGTGATGCGTGGGGGTTGTGGTTGGGTCACGGACACGGCTCAGCGGTTGGGAGTCTGCGGGGAGCGCGGTCGGAGCTAGGAATGTGTTAGCACAATTTATATATTTATATATATTATACCAATATCTCCCCCCCATATAGTTGTACAGAATGTTGGGGTACCACGGTGGCTAGGAGATGTTAACTATCTCGCCTGGTATACAGGAGGTCGTGGGTTTGATCCCGACCCTGCCCGCCTGTATATTTGGAGTTTGCGTGTCTCTCTCTCTCCCCGTGGCCGCGTGGATTTTTCTCCGGGTCCTCCGGTTTTTCCCTGTATATTTACAAAACATGCGTTAAGGGTATTTGACTGCTATAAATGTCCATGTCATAAGCCACTTCGTTGAGCTATCATTCGTGGTCTGGTCGCTTCTGAAAAAGAGCTATATAGCTCAGTGGGCCTTACCTGGCAAAGTAAAATAATATAGTTTAGCGTAAGTGCTGTTAGCAAGCGCCTATTAAGGCCGAAACGGCACACGAGACGGTAGCGTGGCCACTACCACAACTTTTGCATTTCCAGTGCCAATGTTGTTGCAAAGACCAAAACAACAATCCCCCTAATCTGGACTGTTAGGTGCAGGTGATGTTAGCGAGCATCTAATGAAGGAATTTATACACACTCGCATGCCAGGAGGCTGCACAATTAACGCGTGTAATCAGCGAGTTAATTCGACTACACAGCAGCACCACGGTAACTTTAGGGATACCAAATAATGCACGCCTGTGTTAAACAAGATACGGATATCCACTCCACGGAGCATTGTGGAGGAAGGCAATGGTCCATATCAGTGCGTGATATTTAGCCGGAGGCTGTCCGGGGCTGAGCTCCGGAAAATATTCCCCCCGCCCCCCCTACACCACTGTCGGGGGTTTGTTTGGGGGGTTGGAGAACCCGGATAATAGAGTTATTAATCCACGGCTCTGATTTAAATGTTGCCGTAAGGGCCGTGCGAATTGCGCCAACTCGCTGTGCTTCAGTCGCCCGGCGCCCTGCTCGTTTGACGCGAGCGTCGCTCCTCCCCGCTCCCATTGTTCTTGAGGGAGCGATTTCCTTCAACTGCTAAGTAAGCGCCCTTCACGAGCCTCCTCCACAGAGGCCGATCTTGACACCGCTTTGTTACCGGTCATCGGCAAGTCCACTCAGCAAAAAAAGTGTTCCTGTACCACATGCAGCCCCCACCTCCTCTCTAGCCGACGTCGCACATTCTACTCGGCAAAGCGGACGCCTTGGATCCTTTGTACAGCCTGAATGCTCGAGGTTTCAAGGCAACGCAGTTGCTGTCGTAGAGGTCTCTATCTTTTCTAAACACACAGAGGGAATGGAGTTCGGGTCAAGAAGACCTGGAGATTCGTTGCGAGTGACAAGCCAGATGCCTTCCACATGGCGTTATTCAGCCGATGAAAAAGTAAACCCCGCTCGACTGGTTCATATAAAAAAAGTCTGCCGCCAAACCAGAGCTGGCCATGAGCACATTGCCCATGGATAAGAACTCCTCGACAGTCTGAATAGGCGAGCCTCAGGCATTAACACTGACCCTTCTAATGATGCCAAAAAACTGTGTCTTAATTTGGTTATGAACCTCGGGAGATAATAGCGAACACTAAGAGTCCTAAAGATGGCATGGCTTTGATCTTCAAGAATTAAGTGAACTTCAATAATGATGAGATGCTTTAGTCTGGCTCTGAGCCTCGGACACTGACACGGAACAAAAAATAATCCTACGCGAGTTTGTGACCCGAACCAAAACACGAAGAAAACTAAAATTGATAGGCCAAACATCTCGATGCGAGACTCAACCTTAAACAAATTTGTTGAGATTTGTTTAAGGTTGTTGTGGATAAAGGGGCATTATTATTGTCTGGCATGACTGCAGTATCACTTGGTGCGGATTATATGTCGCCGGTATCGACGTGTTACGATTAAACTAAATGGAAATGTGCAACAAATAATATAATTAGCTGCAATGATAATGGTGGTTTCTGCGCCCTCTGATGTAGCAACGCGCCGCTTGTCATTCCACTTCTGACGACAGACGCAACTTGAAATAGAAGGGGATCACGTTTGAATGTTAAATTTAGACCCAAGGGAGCAAACCAAAACTGTACAAACAGAAAATAACAAGCGAGAAATAGCAGAGGCGACAACGCCAACGATTGGAACGGTTGGCTACGTACGGTGCGAAAGAACCTCAACATACGTAAAACAAATTTTTAATCTGTTTAACACGAAAGCTTTCGTGACCAATATCCACAAATAAAAAAAAACCTGTATTATGGAACATTTGAATGCGAGTGCAAATCGAAACGATCGCAATTCAGTGCCACCGCCGGTGAGTGTCGGGTATAAACTCGGTGGTGCGGCAGGTTACTGTTCGCAAGCAGACAAATATTTTTTTTTTACAGATAATATTCGTAATTTTGATTTAAAGCTTTCGTGACTGCAGGGATTCATATTCTTGGTTCTTTCGGTAAAGTCACGTAGAAGGGAAACAATAAAATAATTTAAAAAAACAATAAAATTCTCACGACGTTTCGACTGCAACACAAGCAATCATAATCAGGTGTGAAAACCACAACAAGAAAATTTGAAAAAAGTGGCAGTTATTTTTAACGTTAGCACCACGGAGAAAGATTTGACAGTTTGTTCAGATGGACGAGTCCATCTATGTTCGGAAAAGATAAAGGGGGAGACGAAAAATTATGGATGCGGTCTGAAAGCCACCTTAAGCGTGATCAATCAATTAAGACCCAAAATGGTTTATCAAATCCTTCCAATGATTGCTAAGCCAGAATCCATCTTCTCGGTTGAAATTGTCTCTGTGTTTGTATATGTGAACGAATGAACAAATCTCTCATGGTAGCCAGATGGCTTGCAAAGAACCTCTGTCTTGGAGAAGTCAATGTCATGTGAACCTACTGAATTATAACAGTGATCTGCCACGGCCGAGGTGTTGGTCCTACCGTGTTTCAGGTCTGCTTTGTGTTCACGAATGCGGTCCGAGACATGTCGTTTGGTTTGTCCAATGTAACTACTACCACAGAGGCAACTTAGTTTGTAGACGCCAGGGTACTGTATGTCCGGAATCACATCTTTTACAGACGGAACTAGATCACGTATTTTATGTAATGTGTTGAATCGGACCTGGATCTTGTGCTTATTCAAGATTTTGGAGATCTTTTTTGTGATCCCCGCAATGTAGGGTAAAGTTATCGTTTTGAAAGGCTCCTCAAGAGGGTCCTTCTTCATGGTTTGAGTGATAGCTTTGCGGATTGTGTTGTCGGAATAACCATTAGTTTTAAGAGCTTGGTGTACGTGCTTGAGTTCACTGGCTATATGTTCCTGGTCGGATATGCATTGTAATGTGTTGAATCGGACCTGGATCTTGTGCTTATTCAAGATTTTGGAGATATTTTTGTGGTCCCCGCAATGTAGGGTAAAGTGATGGTTTTGAAAGGCTCCTCAAGAGGGTCCTCCTTCATGGTTGGAGTGATAGCTTTGCGGATTGTGTTGTCGGAATAACCATTAGTTTTAAGAGCTCGGTGTACGTGCTTGAGTTCACTGGCTATATGTTCCTGGTCGGATATGCATTGGGCTCTATGGTGCAGAGCCACATGGCCGGCCTGCTCTAGACCAATTCTTCAACCACATCAATTCCATACACCCAGCCATCAGATTTACCATGGAAGTCGAAAAAGATGGCAAGCTACCTTTTTTGGATGTCCTAATAAAAATGAGACCAGATAGCTCAATGAGCCATTCTATCTACAGGAAAGTAACCCATACCGACACCTACCTGAAACCGGATTCCCACCACCATCCATCCCAGAATTCCCTCATCAAGACTCTGCACCATAGAGCCCAATGCATGTCCGACCAGGAACATATAGCCAGTGAACTCAAGCACGTACACCAAGCTCTTAAAGCTAATGGTTATTCCGACAACACAATTCGCAAAGCTATCACTCAAACCATGAAGAAGGACCCTCTTGAGGAGCCTTTCAAAACGATAACTTTACCCTACATTGCGGGGATCACAAAAAAGATCTCCAAAATCTTGAATAAACACAATATCCAGGTCCGATTCAACACATTACATAAAATACGTGATCTAAGTCCGGCTGTAAAAGATGCGATTCCGGACATACAGTACTCTGGCGTCTACAAACTAAGTTGCCTCTGTGGTAGCAGTTACATTGGAGAAACCAAACATGTCTCGGACCGCATTCGTGAACACAAAGCAGACCTGAAACACGGTAGGACCAACACCTCGGCCGTGGCAGATCACTGTTATAATTCAGTAGGTTCACATGACATTGACTTCTCCAAGACAGAGGTTCTTTGCAAGCCATCTGGCTACCATGAGAGATTCGTTCATGAGGCTATTCACATATACAAACACAGACAATTTCAACCGAGAAGATGGATTCTGGCTTAGCAATCATTGGAAGGATTTGATAAACCATTTCGGGTCTTAATTGATTGATCACGCTTAAGGTGGCTTTCAGACCGCAACCATTATTTTTTTCGTCTCCCCCCTCCTCTTTTCCGTACATAGATGGACTCGTCCATCTGAACAAACTGTCAAATCTCTCTCTGTGGTGCTAACGTAAAAAATAACCGCCACTTTTTTTAAAATTTTCTTGTGGTTTTCACACCTGATGATGATTGCTTGTGTTGCAGTCGAAACGTCGTGAAAATTTGTTTTGTATTATTTTATTGTTTCCCTTCTACGTGAATTTACCGAAAGAACCAATAATATAATATTCGTAATAATACACTCGCTGACCAATAACGGAAGGCAGCAGTCGTGTGACCCGGCGTGACGACGGACTTTACGTAACGGGAGTGAAAATGATTCAAACGTGGGCACCTTCGTTTCTTGTTCCTTTTTTTTATTCCATAAAGAAAAAAAATTGTGCACCCAACAACAGGCAACATTTCGTAAGCGACAAATCGTCCTAACGGTCAACAGAGTCTACGCACGCACGCATGCGCAAAATGTGCAATCTTTGGCCGAATGCACGGTTTGTACACAAGGCGCGCTTGAACAATCACATTTACTTCTGCCAAAGTGTTCTCCTTTAATAATAGTCAAACATTCACAATTGAGAAAAAAAGCATAAAAAGGTGGAGGCGTGGTCATACAGCATTCGCTTGGCATGGTTCTGGCGTGCCGCGCATCAGTCATGAAACGTACCCCTTCGACCGTCGTGTCCGTATATAAAAAGATGCCGCTGTCAACATCGCATCGCTGTCCAAGATTAGTGTTATTCACTCGTACTTCTGAAACTCCCGTTTTACGCAGCCAACGGTTCGTCTCCGTTCATTTTCTTCCAAAGTTTCGGGATAAAATGGAAACGTGGTGTACCGTTATTCTGTCATCGTAATATATATCATTTTTCAAGAATTATTATTTTCTTAAAATAAGTTAAGGTCGCGTTTTTCACGTCCCCACACACGTCCTGACGGCGCCAGGTCGAGCCCCGCACGTTCAGAAGCGTTCGGCCATTTGGTTCCACCACCTCTAACCAAGCACAGCATGGACGGCACGAATCACACTCACGGGGAATGGGGGGGACGAGCCACACTCCAAAATTGGTCCGTTCGGTTAGATTGCGGCCCGCCCTTTCCCCCCCCCCCCCCGAGTACAAACAACCCTAAGGCGGGCGATAGCTCATGAGAGTCTCTATTAGGCGATTATTAGAGACCCAGGGACGCTTAGAAGAGATTGGGTGGCGGCGGCGACGGGCGGGGGGGGGGGGGGGGGGGGTTTTCCCCAGGCCTCACAAAAAGAGGGCCCCACAACGGCCCATGCAAAAGAGGGCCCCACGTGGCATTCTGCCACGGGCCTCCAGCCACGGGCCTCCAGCCACCACCCCTTCCCACCCTCCCTGCCCGTGCCACCAGGAACTTCTAAGGCAGCTCCGAACAGATCCATTAATATCCCGTTGTTTGTTGCTGTGGTTATTAGCGTTGTTATAACTTTTTTTTTAAACAGCTGCCAAACGTTGTTTATTCGTTATTGGGATAAAGCCACTCAGCAGGTATGTAAACAGTGGGGGCATCGTCAAATAAAAAGGATAAAGGGGAGAACAGAAATATCAGCATCACAAAGATTAACAGCTCACCAATTAATACACATGACTTTTACACACCAGTACCTGTCAAATTCATTAAAATCTCCTAACAACAACAAAATGCTTTATTATTAATAAAAGTAAAAAAAACACACACACAACCAACCATATTTCGAGCGCTTTAGGCTATGAAAAAAAACATTTCCAATAAGTTCACAATGAGCACCACGGGATAAAGGCTCAATGTTTCACGACGGTACACAATGTAAAAAAAAACACACTTAAACGCAGTAGCAATTGGCATTCAAAATATACGCAACTTAAAAAAATCACGTGGTCCGCTTATTTTAACATACATTGCAGAGGTCCGTTGGTTTTTCTCACGAAGTTTTAACGAGTACCTGCAATCGACTTCCTGCAACCGTGTGTTGTTCACCAAGAGATGAGATTCGTTTTTTTCTTTCTTTGAAAATCGCTAAACATGCACAACAAACAGCTACCGGAAAGAGAGAAATAGCGAAAATAATTTTCAAACTGCACGGCTTCACACACTCGAGAGAGAAATCGAGCATCCTTCCACCCCCCCCACCCCCCGATGTTGTTTTCCCGTAGCAGTTGCATATTTTTTTTGCATCGTCAAAGCACAGGCAGATAAATACTTTCAACGATCATCAACATCTTGTTAGCGATTCATAAACCACGGCACAAAAGAAAAAAACCGTTCCTTAAAATAATGTAACAATTAGAAGTGAATTATTTCCTACATAGCTGTCGCTTCTACATGCAGATGAAATGCCGTAAGGCGGACACCTCCTTGATTTACGCATTTGCAAGAAAAAACGTAAGTCTCAATGCAGCAGGCTATTTGAATGTTTTCCGTTTCTGCAGTCGACAGCCACACACCTGTACACCGCTTGTTGTTAATTTCCCTACCAGAACAGAGATGGGGGGGGGGGGTTTAAAAGGGTGCGGCACGCTCCAGCACCTGAGATTTTCCTCAACGACTCGCTTTTGCGTCTCTCTCGCTCGTGTTTCTTGTGCAACTTGTGTGTTTTTGTTTTTCGACAGCGGAGCACGGACGTTGTGTTTTTAAACCTGTACACACATTCAAGCGATAACGAGAAATCGCACACCCCCACCACCCCCTCTTTCTCCGTCGGCGAACCGCAAAACACTAAAATCAGGCATCACAGCGTTTCACAGCTCGTTTGATAAGGCCTTGCGCTACACTTTTGTACAAACTCGCAAAATATTGAGATCCCCCCTTCTCTCTCTCTCCTCTCTCCCTCTTGGCTCTCTCCTCTTTCCGCTCCCTCTCTCTTCCTCTCCTCTCTCCCGCGCGACCAGACTTCCCAAGGCGAGATGAGTTGCTTAAGCTCGCGCTCTCTCCGAAACGAGAGCAAGTTTTACTGCATAGTTTTGTGTCTGCTCGAACACACAGGACCACGCGACGACTGCGCTCCGTTTAGACTATAAACATTTCACAGCCGGCTTCACAGGAATGACAACAACGAAAAACAGGAGAGAGAGGTAGGAAGGGAGAACACACAAAGGAAAAGAGAGAGAGAGAGAGAGATCTGGCCACAGGAGAAAAGAACAGAAAAATAAAAACCCCACAAAAATAACAGTCATGCTCTTATAAACAAGTGGCAATGTGAACCACTATCTTTTCGTCAGTGCCCTTTGTTTACATGATTACTGGAACAGTTGTAAGTTCTGCGCTTTCGCTAAGTAAGCGCATAACCCCTCCCCGCGCGTGCCACTCGTAACACACCAACCAGTCCAACGTTGCCAGTCCCTCTTCCTCTAGAGCCTTCAAAGGTTTTGTGGTTTTGTTGGCAGCGGTGATGGTGGTGGCGGCAGCGGCGGCGGCCGCGACCTTCGGGGGTCAGGGCACGCTCCTCTGCGGCAGTTCCTGCGTCACAAAGCGCTTGAGGCGCTCCAGGTACTGGCCGTAGAGCTCCACGTCGTTGTGGCCGGCGCCCTCCACCCAGAGGGGCTCGACGGCGCGCTGGCAGCGCTCGTACATGGCCAGTCCGTGCGAGAAGTCGATCACCTCGTCCTCCGTGCCGTGGATCACAAGCACTGGCGACGACACCTGAGAGATTTTGTCGATGCTGTTGCCCGGATTCGGCCCGTGGTGGGACAAGGGGGTAAAAGTCGCCGTCGGGTCGGGTGGGTGGGCAGACAGACGCGGGTGCGTGCGTGAGTGTTGGGAAAGGGGGTGGGGGGGAAGAGAGAAAACGCATTCGGAAATGAGAACAGGTTCGGAGAGATACCGCCGCGTAATTTTTTGGGGGTTACGCCGCCACAGCTCTCCGATAAGTTAGGGTTGGACTCGAGTGTCGTCCGGCATAATGTCCTGACGAGCTCCTCCCTGTATGTGGAGCGAAACATGACGAATAGCACGCCGTACAACCTGGAAACATATCAGACAGCTACGCTGAGATAAACAGAAATCATTTCACGATGGTGTCAAATAATCCAAGCATCCCCAGGCTCAGATAAGCATCTGACGGTGCACATCCACATTGGCGATTTACACCAGGAACGGACATTTCTTCCTTCCTATGGCAAGTCATGTTATTGGGGTAAATGCTTGAGACTTGTGCGATTACGTAAAGTGTCTGTATACCAGTACACAGCATCCACAAACAGCGGTTAACACTATAATTCTGGTGGCCGGTTTATTGCCAAATGCAGCGCGGAAGAACAGCCACTGAAGAACAGTGCCTTAGAGTTGGGCAAACACTTTGACTGGCGCAAAGAAACGATCGCCGAATCTGAAAGATTGCCTTCGCTCGGCGGGAGGTTGCTCTCAGCTGCTGCTGCTGCTGCTGCTCCCACTGGAACTTCCTTCTATTCTCATGCGATCCACACTCCTGAGGACCCTGTTTGGGTTCAGGCTCAAGGACCCTCTTCTGCCGATGACTGCTGCCTCTTTATGAAGCGTCTTCAAATGCACTTCGACTATAAAACATCTAGGTACCCTATTTAATAACAAAAAAAAAACCCTTCTTTAGATGAAGTGCGCCTTACAAATGTAAATGATCATTATAATTTCCAGATGGGCGCGCTTTCCCCTATTTGTACAGTGTCTTTCCGAGGCGTTCACACCTAGATGCTCCATGAATCAAAACTGCCTTGCAATTTTCATTGCATCGGAGCAACTCGTACGCCCCATAGTAGTGTGGGCAATCATTCTGCTGCATGCAAATCGATTTCTACTAGCGCCCTGATGTGAATTCCTTCTCCCTCCCCCCCAGCTCCCCCACCCACCACAAGATGCTGCTTAGCCTTCACGCGTTTTACCTTGGGGGAGCGCGCGTGCGCGCTGCAGTATTTGCGGTGACATCTTTCCCGCGCATCATGACGCGCTCGAGTTAAAAAGGGCGACGCGCACGATTGCGCCAACGGCTTTTAATTCCAATTCCTCTAAAATTCTAACAACAAGGCGGGTCAAACTTGAAAGCACGTGATGTCACGGGACATTGAGTCATATTAAGTCACGTCCCGACTGAACGATCTGTCCTCATATTTCTTTTTGCTTTACCCCTCCGGACAAACATCCCGCCGACGTCACCGGTCACCCCCACCCCCCCTTTCCACGCGCGCGGGACGGGCGCTGTGTCTTCTCAGCGCCGGCGATCGGCGCCACTCTCGCAGGTATACGAGCTGAACAATAACAACGGGCAAACAAAGCCGCGAGAGGAAACAAAGGAACGTCCGAAAGGAAATCAGATTTTAGAGCAAGTTCGAGACAAATAAATTTACAAGCCCACGAGAACTTGAGCCTTTCTCAAAATAATAAAAAAATGCTCCTGCCGCTCTCTGTCGTATGGCGCTTAAAAAAAAAAACCGCCGACGAAACATAGCGGCACGTGCTAAAGAGCTTCGGATTTCTCCAGTGTAAATCAAGATTCCGATTACGTCTTGATCATCCATTCGAAGGCATCAACAGCCGCTTCATGCATACAGTGCTCGAGCCTCCCCTGCATACACAGATAATGGGCAGTAACTCACCACAATCACAACAGTGCGGGATCACCTCCCGTCATTTACATAACGACGTCAAGGTCAAGCGTTTGCACCCCCAAACCTCTGCCCCCCCCCCCCCAAATTACCAGCAATAACAAAATTTTCGAGACGATTGCAGCAGATTCCGCCCCTCTTGGGTTCCTTCCCCATCCCTTATGAAAGCAAAATTTTCGCGTCACTCCTGGCAAACAACGCCGCCAGGCCAGCGGCGTCGGCTCTCCCCGCACAGGGCCCACCGAGCGCCCCCCTCCCCGCCCCCCCCCCCCCCCCGGCTGGAGAAGAAACTTTTGCCGGAGAGAGGTGGGGAACCGCGGCTGTGTTTTCAATTACTCGCGAATCCCCACCTCCATCCTCTTCGATGGGCCTCGGAGAACTGCCAAATTGATATTAGTTGCAGCTCAAGCGTTTTATTTAATATAATGGTCCAAGAATTCAACCTTTCAGCACTTTTGCTCCCACACCAACCCATCCTGCACGCTGCACAACACCCTGTGCTCCCACCCCCACCTCCGGACCCCCTCCCTTTCCATCAGCCGAATAACAGGATTTAAAAGTTTTCATGATGGCAAGACTTTATAGCGAAAAGAAAAGGGCGATGCTGGCTGGGCGTGCAGGAAACGCGGTTGTTCAGCTCTGCAGGGTTTTCACAGCCAGCGTGACCGCACGTCGGACGCCGAGGTCAAGCAGACACGACCCCTTTACAGCCAGTTGGCGGCGCAGGAGAATGCAAGGTTTGCAATTAAATTGGGGGGGGGAAATGTGTCGAGCTATTCAGTTTCTGTATATATCTGCAAACTATTAGGGCACCTTATATAGCGGTGGCGGTGTGAGTGCCCCTTTATGGTCTGGACGGCCAACGATGAGTTTATCGGTAGGCGGAGGTGGGCGGGGGGTGTAAACGACGCGTCGGATCGGCGATTGATAATCTATTCTTGAGCTTCCGATACACACATCGAATCACGTGAACTTCTTTTGCACCGTACGTAACCGACCGTGCTAACGAGGAGATGCGGGGGAATCGGAGGGGCTGCGTTGTAAGCAGAGGTCGGTGCGGCAAAATCCATTATCACAGAGTACTCAGCTCCAACATTGACACGCGCTCCCCCCCCCACCGCCACCTTCACCGACCAGCACGGCTAAGTTTTGTAAAGTAAACTACATAACCCATACAGGTTGCGGTGGGAAGGGGACAAAAAGAGTTGTACATGTTAAATACGCTGTATGTAATGGACTCGGGTAACCCCTGCAGCCAGCTACTGGAGCGCATGCTACCATTCACAGCTACGGTATGCAAAATAATCGAAGCAGGAATCAAATGGCGACTCCTGAATCGCGATGATCCATTGATCCACCGGGGGGGGGGGGGGGGGGTGGATGAGAGTTAATGGCTGCACGCCCCACTGATTGTGCTCACGTATCACTTCTCACTTGAGCAAATTTTTTCACGGAAAAGAAACCTCTCTGTGGACTTTAAAACAAAAAAATACATCGCGCACTGCATCATTCTGCAATGCGCTTAGTTTTTTTTTTGTTTTACCCAGAAGAGAAACTTGACGAATTATTGTAGAGCAGCGCTCGCTGAACCTGAGTGTACAGTGCAAGAACGCGACTCTTGGCAGAGGATGGCTGCCCCTGAGACCAGGGCTCTGGGCTCCTTTACAACCAGAAACCCCCCCTCGTCGACCCCCAACCACACCTCCACCAGCCAAGGGCTACACGGCAGCGCTCCTAAACCACACACGCCAACGCGCGCAAGGATGGGCACACACACACACACTTCTTGTACAACAAAGACCAAGATCCTCTATGTTGCCTTCAACAGACTGTTTGAGTGCACACGCATGCGCACATATGAACGTGTGCACACAAAGCCAAAGATCCCCCAGTGTAGCCTGAACAGACTGTTGGGGCAAGTGCTGTTAGCGAGCACCTGCGAAGGCGGGCACGACACACGAGGGGCTGGGTGGCCAGCAGCACGTCCGGCTGCCTTTGTCTCCCCAGTGGCGACGTTTACACACCGCACCGGGTACTCATTTGAGGCCGAGTCGACCGAGGTGAGGCCCAGGACCGTTTCAGATAATCGTCACCGGTGTTGGCCGTGAGCAGGAATTGAACTCGGGTCGCCGGGTTCGTAGCGCAGCTCTTCAACCGCTTACACTACCGCTCCCCAAACACGCACACGCAGATGTACAGGCTGACGTGCAATGCTCTCAACAACGGAGCGTCTTGTCTATTGTTTCTAGCGGTGGCTGGGAGAGTCGCTCCTGCATAAGCAACCCGCGGCAGAAGAACAACAAACGCCACCTAGAACGGGGCAAGGAGGCCAACGTCTGACTGCAGGGCAGGGTTTGTTCTGCTTAACAGGCGGCAAGGGCCACAGGAATCTCGTGCCGATTTCAACACTGGGCCATTGTGAGAAAGCAATCGCGCTGGATCCCAGCTGTGCAAAGGATTCCCGAGGTCAGCTTCTGAGCAACACAGATCACAGATGGGGTGGAGGGGGGGGGGGAGCTGACAAGATCGGCGGTCGAGCGTTAGCGGCGGACACAGCGGGGCAGGCAGATCTCACGATGGGCAGAACTTTTAACAACAGCACCTCAGGAAGCGCGTACAGCGGTCGGGCAAGAAGGCAACCGCCAGCATCGCTTCATCATTGCATTTTTACAACTTTGTTTTATAGCCCTTTTGTCAAAAGCATTGCTGTGCTGGTCATGGGGGAAATTCGAGCGTACTTCACCACACTGGTTAGTGCTGGTTGGTGAATGTGTGGTGTAGTGGGGGGGGGGGCAGAACCAGTTAAATAAATCACTCGCCGCTGAAATTAGCCACAGTTGGTAATTGAACTCGCGTAGTTGCGTGACCACCAGACCACCGCTACACACCTCTTACCATCCTATTTCCAGAAAAAAAATCCTCAACATAATCGTCAAAATCACTGCGTTAAATCTAAAAAGTCTGTCATAGGTGACGTTTCGGGTGATTGTTTACAGCACATTGAAAGGCCAGGAGGGGTAGAGTAGTTATTTTGCATATATATATTTTTTAAAAAGGCCTTTAATAGAAAATACATCTGAGCTCC